CCCCAACGTCCTCAACAAATTGAAAGTCCTTCAAGGTCCCGTCATCCTCAGATGGTTGCCGTGATGCCGCAGACCAAAACCACGTACCAGTGCCGAACAGAAGAGAGTGAGGCGGACGATAGAGGGAAACTGTTGGAGGACATGCGCAAGGTCTGTAGCAAGGTCATCCTGCACCTCCCAATCGGGCTTGCAGGCGCTTAGGTTCAGCCGCACTGTAAGGTCACTGGCGTTTGGAGCCCATTTGGCGGTGTACATCACAGACAAGTCTGCAGATGGAGTGAAGACAGAGCGTAGAACGAGACGTGGGAGGCAACGTCGACGTACCATCATCTACGCTATCCAAGGCTGCACAAGTGGCGGACGCAGTAGTGATTGGCGAAGCCCGGACGGCTTTAAAAACGGCACACAGGGCGTTGACAGTGGTAAGTCGGGGTAGGTTGATTGGCTCCAGCTCGTCGTGATGGGGTAATCCCTCATACTTGGAGAGCAGCAACACGAGTTCAACCACGGTGAGATGAGCACGCAAGAAGGCTGGGATCCATCCACGAGGTAATTCGCACAGCTCGTAAGGTAGTAACTCGTCGCATTTGAATGAAGTTAGGTTGGCAAAGATGAACCGGTGGGTACCGAAACTGGATGCGGTTGACATCACCCGAAACTGCAGGTCCTAGGAAGCACAGCGTACCTGACTATCGCTCTGCCATAAAGCGACAGCGTCCGAACCCAATGTACTCTGAACGAGCCTTGGTTCAGCGTCCCAGCGTCTTCGCGTGGAACCCGTAAATGGCGGCAGAGGAGGGGGAAAACAGCCTGCCGCGCAGGTCTGGACACCATTGACAGAGGACGGGGATTTGGGACATAAGAGCCGATTTCACGTATCAGTTCAGAGGGTAAATCGGTAAACATGGGGTGAGTACAGAGATAGAGTAGCAAACGGCCACGTGGCGACCAAATCCTAACACACAGGCAACGCCGGTCCGGCTTCATGATCCGGAGTCGCAGTCCGCGACTCTCCCAACGAAACGCTGAATAAATTTATGGAACCCTTTATTTTTTTTCCGACGACAGTGCTTGCATGCAGAGTCAGCTGATCCACTGTCTATTCATTTTTACGGCAATCTACTTTCTCGCAATGTGAAGCCGAGATGTATATTGTAACGTCGTGGTACTGGGGAACCTTTTCTTCCGTTCCGTTGTCCCGAGCATTGCGTTTTAGCACTCTGTTAGCAATACGTTTTTCTCGAACTGGCCTGATTTGAGTTAACAGTCTAAAGATGCTTCCCAAGCCATGACGGCGCAATGTCCAGGAAAGCTGATTATTCTGCAGGGCCTCGCCAGTGGCGCCAGGCGCTACCAGGTTTTCCACGCACTCGTATCCACTTTGGGTGGATACGACGAGACGCTGCACACTTCGTCCTGTCGTCAATCATCCGGCACACGTTGGCCCAGGTGCGTTGCGCTTCTCTAGCATTGAGGTATAAGGCAAAATACGAGACGCGCAAGGTGAACATACGGATCCCAGTGGTCAATGAAAATCACGTTGGGATGCTGCAGTATGGCATGGTTTTCAGCGATGTTGCCGCCCCTATACACGACTTTTTAGACGGGTCCCCAACGTCAAGAGCAACCCACATGGATATAGCGCTTCCCGTGCCCTCGTCGTTTGGCGAAGGTTCTCTAAGCTGCCGGAGTAGTGCATCGAAAGCGGCGTCCCAGGCCTTCCATGGTTCGTTGTGGGGGTGGAAATCGGCTACGGGCGCCCTTGTCCAACGTTTACGGAGTAAAGGTACTATGGTCGACAGAGAGCTCGGTCACGCTGTGGTCATTGAACGATGGCCCTTAAGAGCTTCAAAGACGGTTCTGACTAATAAATCTTGAGCGTTCGCGGTATCTCCCGGTATTTGTCATGATAGTCATTCGTCAGCAAACCGACGAGAGGTTGGTAAGGGGAGCAACGCGGACCGTTACAGAGCCATCCGTATGGAGTTCGGCGCCTCCGCTTTAACAGGTAGGGAATTAATGAGTCGGTTACCAGAAGGAAAAGAACCCTGCCCGATGATTCCAAACGAAAAAGAGCTGGCCGACTGGCTGTGCGGTGTTGACAAAACTGCACCATTGTCGCGCTTGCTTGCGTTGTTGAAAGAGCACCAACCTGATTGGGTAGTTGGGACCCGCGTGAGTGTAGATCTCCACCTCTGTTGCTTGTCCCTTACCTCCCGGTTTGCAGCGCATGCGCGCGATCCGTTCAAAGTACTCTTTAGCCCTTCCGACCATAGTTTGTTGCCGAATGGACCGCACGGGGAATGTTCTGGGAGCTCGCGATAATATACTTGGCCAGTTGCAACCACGTTTTTCTGGCGTATCTTCTCCACGTCCCTCTGTCCAAGACATCGCTCTGGTGCTTGGTGTCGATACGGTACGTCACAGACACGCGGCAACACATCCATCGTTGAACAGCTTACAGGATGACGTCCACCGGATTGCTAGGTTTTACGACCGTGATCCAGATTGCCATGGTTGGTACTACGAGGTACGGGGCCTTGTGGGCGTCCAAAGTTCGATCTTGACCATGTGCATAGGTTTATGTGCTATCAGGCCAGCGACTGGGCTGCAAAAACTCGGTCTTGTCTCTGTTTGTCAATGCAAGGAGTTGTTACACCGATGCGGTAATCGTCAAAAACGGGCCAGACAAGGGAAGTGGGAGTCCCGTAATTGATGTGACCTCACTTGCGAAGACCCTGTGGTGGTGTAACGTGCACGGGGGGGTCAGGGAAACCGTCGCGCAACGCGATTTTGAACGGATGTTAGTGGATGTGTTTTAGAATGATCTGCTTCTGTTTTACGTGCCAGTAAGATATCGCGGTAGTAACATTTGCCTGCTCAAGCACGGAACGGCTCACCCGCGACCACCGAACGGCAGGGGATTCAAAGTCCACCAGGTATGGCATTGCAGGTACAGTCATTGTGCAGAAATCCAGCAAATAAGTAGGAAGCTCCACTGGTGACGCTTACCCTGAACACGACGAACCTTTCCAACCCACCTGGAACACCGAGTTCTGACTCCTGTAAAAAAAAATGCCTAATAAGGATTCGAGCCTGGGCGTCCTTCAAAGTTGCAGGAGAACGTCATTCAACTTGAAGCTTTGGGAGATACGAGCTACGTGCGTTGCAAGGCCTGATTGAGGAAGCGAGATAGAGACCCTGAGATTCCCGACGTCCTCTTCTATATCAATAAAATCTGCGGCTGTGGCGATGAGAGCAACGGCGGTGTTCGGGCGAACGCTCACCGCGGACGGGATGTGCGCATCCCTTGTAGAGAGAGTCATCCGCGAAAGTTACCGACGCACTTTAGAAGTTGCGCGCGGGCACATCTGCCGGGGTCGTGTCAGCAAACCAACAGCTTCGGCTGTCACGGCTGTCACACATCCACAAAGTCACTCGTGACAGTTGCTGCACACGCTTGCATTTTTTTCCGATCATTCCCAAGACTGTAGCGCTTCGTCTCGTTGGAAAGATATTTTCCGACTGTGGACTCTGAGAAAAAATGCCCTGGCCAGGAGTCGAACCTGGTCGGCGAACACTACTTGAAATTTAGGGAGTGCACACCAAGTGTGCCGCCAAGGCTTGACAACCGATGAAAAGTTGTTTTTTGCACCTTCCGACGCCTCAGACGGATGAAAGAGGATAGAATTAGGCTCGTGAATCCTAAGTGCTTTGGCTGCTTTGGCTGAGTTTGGCAAAGAATTCTGAAGTGCAGCTACAGAAGCAGGGTTAGGTATTCTGAGCTTCGACCAGGAGGACGACAGTTTCAAGCACGGCAGAGAGACAGTTAGGTAGAAATTTACGCGGCCACGTGGCTGGCAAACACCGACACATAGTGAACGCCTGCCCGCGAGCGATCTGGCCATGGTGCGGAGGTGTTAAGTTGACCCAACGAAACACCAAATAAAATTTGCAGAGTAGGTTGCTGATGTTGTATCTCCGCACCACTGCACACGCCATGAAAAGACCCAGCCACTCGCAGCATACGGAATCCGAGATTCCTGGTTAGTACACTAATTTGCGGGCGCGGGCATACACTTGGGGAAACGACACAGTTGCATAAACTGATGCCGAAGGGTTGCCCGAATCCGTCCACACCCTATCTACCTCCGCGCTGCAAGCCAAAATGGTCGTTATGGTATGGGATGAAGATACGGAAAAGTAGACTCACGCCACTCTGAAGATCTTACTGTGTCCTTCGATGGTGTAAAATATAGGCATGGTTTGCTGCCTCACACCACGTATGACCTTGAACGCTTTGGCGAGCATCTCAATTTTCGGAAAGTATTCAACGACGCCGAGGAAAGAATCCGCGAAGAGAATGGGTTCAGCTGGGTCGGCTTCGCCGAGTCGAACAAACTCTTGCTTCAGATACGCCATGTATCGGCTGAGGAATCATGTCGGACCACTTCTGAGCGCTAGTCGACTGCAATGGGGCTCACGAGTCCGCGGACATCAGCCCGGAATTTTGAATATACCATGTGATGGTTGAAGGGGCCGAACCAGCAGGAGGGACGTGACGAGAAGAGTGGCCGCATCGAGTGTTCATTTTTACCGGAAGAGGAGCGATGGGGTTGGTGCTGGGCTGAACGTTCGAGGTCAAGAAGAGGTCGACTTAAAGGTCAAGTACTGTGCGTTTCAACGGGCTGCGGTCTGCGGCAAGGGATGCTGCGGTTAAGATCGCCAGCGGGAAGCAGAAACCAGTCCATTGATTAAACTGTACGGCATGTGGTCCCCGTGTTTGTTCGAATTCGGGGTATGCAATAGATAAAAGTTACCTTAAAAATTAACCCACCCTTGATTCGAACAAGGATTGCCCTGAGAAAGCTTCATGTGGACCCGTTGATTCAGGGCGCACTAGCCAGTTGTGCTACCGGGTCCTGCTTGGGGACGCTGGTAGATCAGACGATATTAGTCGGAGGAAGAAGAGTGAAAAAAATGTGCTCTCGCACGAAGAAGGGCCCAGCCTTGGATTGAACAAGGGTTCTCCTGATAATTCGTTAAATGAAACCTGACAAATCATCAGGGCGCACTAAACCACTGTGCTACTGGGCCGCGTTCCCATTGATTCACAGGAAGAAAAAGAGACAAATATCCAAATGCATGCCCCAGCCTTGAGTCGAACAAGGGTCTTCCTGATAGAGACATCTGGTTGGTCGCACCAATGCAGGGTGCACCGAACCACTGTGCTGCTGGGTCATCGTTAACGAAGCGGGCAACGCTGATAGATCCGACGCCACCCGGACAGAATTCAAAACACATCTCAACTGTTAACCACGGAACGGCTTGGTTCACAGAGGAGAAGAGAAGAGGGACAAGCAGCGATTATCAAATTTACACATCTACATGCAACATGCGACAACCTTCTACCCTACTGATGTCCATGTACGAGTGTAGGAGCAGAAGGAATGTCCGTAGAGGCGGCGGAAGCTTGCGAGAAATTTGCATAAAAAACAATCTGAAGCAACGTCCTGCGCGCGCAGCAATGGACAGTCAGAGCGGTACAGTAGAAGACAGAGTATAAACTGACGAGCGCACCGGCCTTAGAGCCCCAAGATTTGACTGGCCCCAGGGAAGACCAGGCTGTCGAGTATTAAGTCGAACAACACCCACCGCAGAGAGCACTCACCCAAGCACGGACGGGAGGACGTGTACCCGATCCGACTCGCGCACGTCGAGTGGGCGACCGTCGGCCTTGTCGAGGCGAATGACGAGGAGGTTGCCCTTGAAGTTACAACCCCAGGCACTGGCGGCGCGGACGAAGGCGTTGGGGGGTGGACGATGTTGGCAACTCCGAAGGGCCTGTCCTGGTCGGTGCCCATGACACAGAACAGTTCGTCGTGGAGGAGCATGTCCTTGCCGTCTACCCCAATTTCATGTGCCCAGAGCGCGGGGTCTGGCACCAACCACGAACGCAAGTCGAGCTCTTTCCAATTGGCGGGCTGGTGCCGGGTTCGGGGGACTCGGACGATACGAGGCTGGTCCATTCCCGTGCCGATGAAGAAAGCGTTAAGGAAGCCGTGTCTCGGCTGAAATGACACGACATGAGCACGAGCATGGATTGAAAGCCAGAGGGCGCACGGGGAGCCTACGATCGTTTTGGTCGAAGCGGCCCTCGATCTCGACGATGGTTCGTTCAGTGGTCAATGAGAGCGTGGTGGTGGCCATGACGGTCGAATGCTGCGCGAGAGAGAGAAAGCGCCGCGCACTTTTAAGGACGAGCACTGAAAGCTTAAACAGGCACAGCCCATCGAGAGAAGCGCAGTAGAAGACCTAAAGATAACCGATTTGAATTGAGCAGAGGGAAAACATTGGCTGCGGCGGACATAGTGAGTAAAATGGAGGCACGGAGAACTTGCTAGTATGGTTCAGGCAAAAACGAGGCGCGGAGGTTCGATAAGCGCTAAATTAAAAGGATCACATCTGCTGCTGTGTCATCTGTCGATCCGCCGCCGCTTCTTTGCGCACGAGGAACCGAAGGTGCCACAATTGTCGCGGGAAAGCAGGAGAGGGCCCAGGTCCCGAAAGGCCTTAGAACAAAGGGGCGGCATGGGCGGTGTGTGTCTGTGACTGCCCGATGATTCACAGAAAAAGCAGATATAGCTGATCCGGTCTGACTCGGAGACGATACGACTACAAGACTCGTGCGCCTGTTGAGAGGGTTCTGGCATGCCGCAAGCATGCCGGAGAACAAGCGGATCAATCCGGCAATGATTTTCCGGCTATTCCCGTATCCTCGAAGATAATTAATAAAAAGAACGAAAAAGATGGAGTATCCCGCATGCCCCAGCCTTGAGTCGAACAAGGGTCCTCCTGATAGTGGTGTCTGGGATATGCAACATCAATTCAGGGCGCACTAAACCGCTGTGCTACTGGGCCGTATTTCATTAAGTGGTCGAACTTCGATGAATAGTGCATTTCACGCGCACTCGGTGAAGAGAGAAGAGGAACAGCATAGCTTTCAATTGACGAAATTTACAAACGACAAACTTCTACCCTACTGATGTCCATGCAAGAGCGTAGGCGTAGAAGAAGTGTCCATATCGGCGATGGCGAGGAGAAGCTTGCGGTGTGGTGAAGAAGAACAAAAAAAAATGGGAGCGGAACCGAAACATCCTGCGCGCACAGCAACCGACTGTCAGCGTGATACAGTAGACAGTAAAATAGTCTCCCGCGAGGGCTGGCCTTCAAGGAGCCCGACCCGTCACCTTGCCCGTTACGATGAAATAACTCCCCGGTGCACCCCTTGCGCCAACCATCACGTTGTTCGAAGCAAAGCTGAGCCAAGTGTTGAGTCAAAGTCCAAGGATGTCCGAGAACGCTCACCCGATAACGAGGCTCATAACGGCCGCTGCGTCCGAGTCCAACACGTCAAGGGGGCGTCCCGTGTGCTCAGCAACGCGCACTACGAGGATGTTGCCCGTCGTGAAGTCTTTCGTGGTCGGGAGCCGCAATTTGGAGACGTAGTTGTTAGCGGGGTTCTGGAGAGTGGGGTCGTCCATGGGATGCCAGTCTTGGGCGGGTCCAACGATGAAGAAATGGCCCACAGTGTCGATGGACATGGAAGCCTCGAACGTCCTGACGGTCGGACTCCAATGGGCGGGGTTCGGCACCAGCCACGGCTGGACGTCGAGGTCCCGTGCTGTGGCGAGCTGAGGTGTAGGACGAGGAACGCGAACGATGAGGGGCTCGTCCATTCCGGTGCCAATGAATAAGGCGCGGGTAAATCCCGGAATTTGCTGAGACGACATGAGGACGAGCATGGAATAAAAAACAGAGGGGCACACACTCATATTCGGGTTGGCGGCGAGGAAGTCGAACGCGGCCTCGATGTCGCGCACGGTGTCGAGGGTTGTCAATGGGAGCGTATTGGTGGCCATGATAATCGAGAGAGAGAGAGAGAGAGAGAGAGAGATCGGTGCGCAGCTTTCAGGGCGAGCACTAAAAGCTTACAGCTACTTGCGGAACTTAGGGCGCGGGCAGATTTTTTTCCAAAAAGGGACATTTTTGATCGTTTTTACCATTTTGCTCGCTGCGGCCTCAAAACTCAACGAAATACAATTATTATTAGCGCATCCTCTTCCCCTCGCAAATCCGCAGATGCAAGGCTCTTTGGACTTTCCATTTGCGGCCCTTGGAAGTGCGCTGTTCGAGATAGCGTACTTCCACGCATTTTGCTCGCCATTTTCGCGTCAATGCCCCAAGTCATCTAGAAATTTGACACATCCAGCCGACATGTATCCCACACATGCGTGTCAATTCAGATTCCGACCAAGCAACCCAGTCCCTTTGCGGCACGGTCAACGGCGTGGAACAACCATCAAACCAAGCCTTTGCTCGCAACTCACGGTTAGCCTACCCGTAGGTCCCCAAATGATTTGATAATTTGATACGGCCAACTGGCATGTATTTTGCACCTGCCTATAGACTCAGATTTTGGCTCCCAGACCATTCGGGCATGCAGCAGAAGAAGCGATTCCAGATATGCCGTCAGATCAACTTACGCGCAAATGATGTGACAGTAACACTCTTGCTCCCAACAGCCATGCCGCGTCGAGCACCACCAACAGTGGAGCGGCAGCACTACTCCAAGGACCTCAAACGGCGTGTCATTTATCAAGCATATACCCTGAAGAAGTCTACGACCGCAATTGCCATCGACCTTGACATGCCCGTGCGAGTTGTTCAGCGGGTCAAAAAGACGTGGTGCGAGATCGGGGATGTATGTCGGGACCGTCAATATATTGGCAGGGCACCAATGCTATCCCCTGCCCACAGCAAGGTGCGTCTGCTTTTACTGTTCATCTATCTAGCTCACTTTATCTCAGTTCATGCTCGCATTGCTCGATCATACACCAGACATGTATCTGGACGAGATACAGGAGCAGCTCTTCGCACAACATGATATCGAGGTCTCCCTTGCAACTATCTCGCGCACATTGAGGCGGCTCGGGCTCTCATCCAAGAAGGTATGTTGTGCCGGTCCCGGTTCCATGTCCATTACATATTCATTCTTCATAGCTGTCGAGAGTGGCCTCGGAACGCTGCGATGATACTAGGCGCGGCTTTTTCATGGAGATCGGAGACGAACCCGCAGATCATCTAGTATGCGCTGACGAGTCCGCCGTAAACATTCTTACTTCGTATCGGCGTAATGGTTGGGCTTTGCATGGGCTGCGAGCACGTAAAAAGTGTTGTTTTGTTCGTGGAACACGGTATACTTCCACTCGCTATCATGACATATCTTTGCTGAGTCTTTTACAGGTACTCCCTTCTCCCCGCGATTACGACGGAAGGAATCATTTACAGCCACATCAAAGAGGGTGGATACAATGGCGACCAGTTTGTGCACTGGCTCGAGGGTTTGCTGGATGTAATGAATCCATACCCTGCTAAACACAGTGTTCTCGTTCTCGACAACTGTCGTATCCATCATGTTGAGGGTGTGCAGGAAATGTGTGATGCCGCGTGAGTTCCCCAACGCAATCCGGAGCATCTTGCTTGCCCTGACATCTTCAGTAGCGGGGTCAAGCTTGTGTTTTTACCGCCATACTCTCCTGATCTCAACCCGATCGAGGAGTGTTTTTCATTCGTCAAAGCGTGGATTCGCCGTCACGGCGCGGCATTCCGTGATATTGTGGAAACGGGGAATGAAGCTGACCCATTCTTATTTTTGTACGAGGCACTGGACAACGTCACGGCCCAGGCTTCAGTGGGATGGTTCCACAACTCTGGATACCTTTGAGTACTTGTGTTCTTGTACACACTATTGAATCGGAGACGGGTATGTTGATTTGGTGTGAGTAATGCGCAAGTAACGACAGTGAGAATGGAGGGGTAAGGACAGGACGACTGGACACAGTCACAAATATTTAGCACCCAATCACTCCCCCCTTCGGCTCCGAATCTCTCGGTCAACTCGCTTCATCTCTGCCTTCGCATGCTTCAGGAGGAAGGCGGCATTGCCCGATGTGACGCCACGGACAGCGACAACGATTGCGTCCGCAGTTCCCAGCGCCACGATCTCGTCGATGTTGTAATAGTTGATCTCGAGAAAAGTGTCGGCGTAAGCCACGAGACCGCGTTTCGGGGCATATTCGTGTAATTGGCGAAGGAAGTCGTCGATTTCGGGGTAAGGGTTGATCTCACCCATATCAGGTGGATCGCTCGAGGGAAAAGCGATCGGCAGGGCAGTGGGGGCCTGAGCGGCCTCCAATGGAACCGCAGGAGTAGGTGCAGGAGTGAGTACACGAGCATCCGGTGCAGCAGGAGCGGGAGTAGCCGGCGTGGTTGGCTGACCTGCTCCCATGTTGAACGACGCACCGGGGAATCCTCCCCATGGCATATAGCCATACGGGTTCATGCCTATGAATGGGGGCATCGACGTGGGCATGGGCCCTGTGCCCGGCATCATCGGATTCAACATGGGATTCACCGTACTATCCGTGCTCGCACCAAAGCTCTTGAAGAACATCTTGAAAAGGCCGGCCTTGGGCGGTGCCTTCAGAGTCACGTTGTGCGTTTCGGCGGCCTTGGAAAGCATGTAAGCCTCTCTGGAAATGATACGACGGACGAGACGAAATATAACCAACCAACGAACGTGCCCAGCTTTTCAATTGTGAGTTGTTGAGTTGATGATGTTCGCCTGCCACATTGATCTTGCATGCTTTCGACGGTCCGCAGAGCTGGCAGCGACCATGCTCCTTCTGCAGCTGCTCGTAACATTTAGTCTCCTTTTCCATAATGCCAAGCCCGTCGTCGAAGTCGTCGTCACCGGACCCAGCGTGTTCCAGGTCAAGGATTGGCATTTTTGCTTTGCCTTTCCCCTTCGCCACCCCACCTCTACCTTTACCGGATTTCGCGCGCAACGACATTAGGTACTAAACCCGCAATGTGTTAGCACAAAAAGGAAAACGAGACTAAATGAACGCACCTGCTCCGTTACCTCAATGTGAACTTTTATATCTTTGACCTTCTTTTCGGCCGATACAACGTCCTCGAGACAGCCCTCCCAGTCCTTCTCCGAGGTAAGGTTGATAGATGCAGCCTTTGCAGGCGCGTTGGACAGTCTGTACGAAAGAACAGGCTTTACGGGGACATCGGCGCAGCCAATAGTGGTGTAGATAGTGTCTAGGGCTTCGTCAAAATCTGTCGCGTGGGTGAGCTTCTCGCGCTGACTGCCGTCACTCGCTGCCTGAGGAATGACGAGGACGAGCTCTGAGTTTCATGCCCCCCATGTCAGTGTTGCTCAAATAAGACAAGTGATGACACACTGTGCATGGATGGGTCCACCATTGGTTCCTCCACAACCTTTTTCTCCGCCTTTTTGCGAGCCTTCTTCTTGGCTGGGGCCGGAGCTGGTGTTTCCTCATCGGTGTCGCTCAAAGTTTGAGCCCTCACCGGAGTCTTCTTGCGCTTCTTCCCTGTCTCCGCGCTGGCGTCCGAGTCCAGATCGAGGGTGTCGTCTGCCGGATTGTACACGGTATCTGCGGGATCCTCCGGGCCATCAGCAGCAGACAGCGAAGCAGGAGCTTCTTCTCCTTCTGCGGCAGCTTGGGCTTTCGGATTCTTGCGCTGGGATCGCCTAGCGCCGAGACGTTTGTCTCCCATGGCAGTGATGAAGGAAAATGAGGGCTCGTCACCGCACGTGAGTGTGACCATCAGACGCGTCGGTGTCGCGGCGGTGTCAAGGAATAGGGTGTTAGAGCACATAAATAAAACTCCGTACTATCATACCTACCTCAATTCTGGAGGGGAAAGCTCTGTGGTGTAAATGCGCGACACATTTATTGCCATCACAAGATTCATGAATTTATTGATGGCAGCTCGGTCTTTTGTCTCTGCCTTGACTGGCTGTATTCTATGCTCCCTCACTCACT